TATGCAAATGTGGTGTTTGGGGGTGTTACAGTAGTGGTATCAGAGCCTTAGTTTAAGAGATTTAGGTATTCAAAGCATGATACCTAGACTTAAACTGTCATTTGCATGTTAAGAGTCCCGGACATTATTAGTATCACTAGGAATAAAATATAATAGGCTAAAGAGAATAATATGTAAGGTGAATTCGAATTACAAATAGCCAATGTAATTATGAATTTATAGGTACATACCTATACTCGGACACCATATTATATTTGGGAATGTGTATACTTGATATTTAATACTAAAATATCTACAGATGTCTAGTCCATCACGAAGGTCAGAGAGAACTGCCCGACCTATATCTGAAGAAAGGGAGGAATCTTCCGCTAATCCATCAACCTATGCTTCAAGGAGTAGAGGTCATGGAAAGGGTAGGGGTAGGGGTCAAGGGAGGAGTCAGATTTTTGAGAGGAGTCAGGCTGAAATTCGCCCTGATCAAAGGGTATCTATTTCTGGGAATGCTCAACAGGAACAGAGACAACAATCAGAGTTTATAACTAGAAATGATCTAGCAGAAGAAATGGAAAAACTGGGGGAAACTCTAATATCTATTATGGGACTGCCAGCTAGAATAGAAACTGAGCGAGTTGGAATTCATCCTCTAGCTCCTTCAGCAGGCAGCAATAATCGGGGAGGAGATATAAAGATGTTTCTAACATGTAAACCTCCAACCTATTCAGGAGAGAGAGATCCAGTTAAAGCAATGTGCTGGATAAAAGAGATTGAATCGGTATTTAACACTAGTAGGTGTTCTAAGAAGATAAGATTAGATTCGCAGTATCTATGCTCAAATCTAATGCCTTATATTGGTGGGATGTGGAGTCCTCGGCACAACCGAATATACTGCAAACAATGTCTTGGGAAGAATTTGTGAGTAAATTTAAAACACAATTCTGTCCTACAACAGCAGTAAGACAAATGGAGGAAAATTTTCTTAAGCTAGAGCAAGGGAACAGATCTGTGCGGGATTATACCGAGAAATTTATTGAGTTTTCCCGATTTGCTGARMATTATGTATCTTCAGAATCCCGAAAAGTAGAAAGATATATTTGGTGTTTGAAACCTTCTATTCGAGAGTTCGTGAATGCTATGAACCCTGAAACTTTCTCTTTGACCGTTAATGCTGTCGAAGTTACTGAAAGAAATAAGAATCGACAGGGTGAAGAGAAATTTGTTGAGAAAAGAAAGTGGGAAAGGTCTTTAGTTAGTTTTCGAAGACCCAAATTTATTAAATCAGATAATCGTGTTTCTCAGTTATCTTCTGTTAAAACCTGCCAGCAGTGTCAAGAGATACACCAGGGAAGTTGTCCCTCTGAACCAAAGAGATGTTATCATTGTGGAAAGACAGGGCATTTGTCAAGGGATTGCATTACACCCAAAAGATGTTTTCAGTTCAATTCACCTGACCACATTCGACCAAATTGTCCACAATTGAGAGCTCCTCGTCTGACAATGGGAGRAAATACTCCCAGTAACCGTGGAAGGCCTAGTGCACCGAGGGGAGGCCAGAGTGGAGCCAGGGGTAGATCGTTGCAAGTGACAAAGAACGAGGCAGAAACAACCCCAGATGTAGTAACAGGTACTTTTCTTTTGAATTCTATACGTGCTAAGATATTGTTTGATTCGGGTGCAAAATTTTCATTTGTATCACCATCATTTGCTCAATCTGCATGTCTGAATTCTGTGCTACTTGATGACAAATTAGTAGTTGACATTGCTAATAGTCAAGAATTTGTTACTAAAGTATTCAATAATTATACTATTATTGTTGAGGGGTGTGAGTTACCGATTCGACTGTTTCATATGCGAATGAAAGAGTTTGATGTAGTGGTGGGTGCGGATTGGTTAGCAGAGTATCAGGCCAGTATTGTTTGTAATAAAAAGATGATCAGAATTACTCTGCCAAATCAAGGAACAGTTATTATTTATGGTGATCGTCAGGATCATCATACTAGTTTATTATCTATGTTGAAAGCCTAAAGATCTATTCGGAAGGGATGTCAGGGGAGTTTAGCAAATGTTATTGATGCAAAGAAAGAAAAAGGGAAACAGAAATTGATTCCAACCATTAATGAATACCCGAATGTTTTTCTAGAGGATTTGTCTGGGTTACCGCCACATCGAGTCATTGAATTCCGGATTGATCTTATACCTGGAGCAGCACCAGTGGCCAAGGCACCGTATAGATTGGCTTCTTCGAAATTGAAAGAGTTGGTTACTCAGTTGAAGGATCTGACTGATAAAGAATTCATTAGACCCAACACTTCACCTTGGGGTGCTCCGGTCTTGTTTGTCAAAAAGAAAGATGGATTTATGCGAATGTGTATAGACTATCGAGAATTGAATAAATTGACCATCAAGAACAAGTATCCTCTACCAAGGATTGATGACTTGTTTGATCAACTGGTAGGAGCAAGTTATTTCTCCAAAATCGATTTGAGGTCAAGGTATCATCAACTTAAAGTCAGAGAGGAAGACGTTGCTACAACAGCTTTTCAAACCAGATATGGGCATCATGAATTTCTAGTTATGCCATTCAGCTTAACTAATGCGCCCGCAACTTTTATGGATTTAATGAATAGAGTATGTAAAGAATACCTTGATAAATTCGTCATTGTATTTATCGATGATATTCTTATATACTCTAAAACCGAAGAAGAACATGCGGAACATCTTTGTTTGATACTGGAATTATTGAAGAAAGAGAAGTTGTATGCCAAATTGTCCAAGTGTGAGTTCTGGTTAAGAGAAGTTCAATTCTTGGGTCACGTTATCTCAGAAGCCGGAGTATAAGTAGATCCAGTAAAAATAGAAGCAGTTGAAAAATGGGAAGCTCCAAAGAATCCGTCTGAAGTCCGTAGCTTTCTGGGTTTGGCAGGTTACTACCGTAAGTTTATTCAGGACTTTTCTAGAATAGCCGTGCCATTAACCAAATTGACTCGAAAGAATGTCAAGTTTCAGTGGGAAAAAAAACAACAAGAAGCTTTTCAACTATTAAAAGATCACCTTTGTAGTGCGCCGGTGTTAACTCAACCAGATGGATCCGAAGACTTTGTGGTATACAGCGATGCTTCAAAGGTAAGATTAGGATACGTCCTAATGTAGAGAGGAAAAATGATTTCTTATGCATCAAGACAAATAAAGGATCATGAGAAGCAGTATCCGACTCATGATATGGAGTTAGCTGCGGTAGTATTCGCTCTAAAAATCTGGAGACATTATCTTCTGGGAACAAAGTGCCAGATTTACACAGATCACAAGAGTCTATAACATCTATTCAGCCAGAAAGATTTAAATATGCGACAGCGTAGGTGGATTGAACTTGTTAATGATTATGACTGTGAAATCCTTTACCACCCAGGAAAAGCCAACGTGGTAGTTGACGCTTTAAGTAAAAAAGAAAGGAGCGGGACTATTAAAACTGTGGCAATGAGAATAAGTTTAGTCCCTGATATCCATAAAGAAATTATGAGATGTCAGAAGGAAGTTGTGAAAGAAGATCTTATCAAATCAGAAAGGTTGGGTAAGATGATTTCAATCTTGGAACTAAATGACAAAGGAATTATGTGTTTTCAAGGGCGAATTTGGGTACCAAGTTTTGGGGATATCCGGAAAGTTATTTTAAATGTAAGCCATAAGTCCCGATACACTATTCATCCAGGTACCAATAAGATGTATCGAGATCTAAAATCTTTTTATTGGTGGCCCGAATTGAAGAAGGATATAGCTAAATATGTGGAACAGTGTTTAACGTGCCTACAGGTTAAAATCGAGCATCAGAGACCGTATAGAAGTCTTCAATCTTTGGAGATTCCTGTGTGGAAATGGGATCATATTACAATGGATTTCGTCATGAAGTTACCTCGAACTACAAAAAGGTATGACGCGATTTGGGTAATTGTTGATCGCCTATCTAAGTCAGCACATTTTCTAACTATAAAAGAAAATTTCTCTTTAGAGAAACTGGCTTAGGTTTACATCGAAGAAATTATAACTAGGCATGGTGTTCCACTGTCTATTGCTGATAGAGATAGCCGTTTCACCTCAAAGTTTTGGAAAAGTTTGCAGAAAACTCTGGGGTCAGAAATTCGGTTAAGTACAGCATATCATCTGCAAACAGATGAGCAAAGTGAGAGAACTATCTAGACTCTCAAAGATATGTTGAGAAGCTGTATCATTAATTTCGGGGGATCGTGGGAAGATCACTTGTCATTGATAGAGTTTGCATAACAATAGTTACCATTCCAGCATCCAAGCGACACCGTATGAAGTGTTGTATGGACGTAAATGTCGAACACCATTATGTTGGAATGAGGTGGGTGAAAAACTGAGGTTCTTGGGTATACTCTTTTTTTGCATGATATTGTGAACTGCATCATTTATTTATACTGCAGAATATTTCTAAGCGGAATTACATTATCATATTTTGGTGTTCGTCACCTTGCATTTGCAAGGAAGGGATTTACTCACTAGACCCATCTGGTCTTACCCTCATTTTCTGCTTTAAATTATACAATACAGGAATAGCGGGGTCCGGGGATATTAAAGGGAATGGAAAATATGATTATTTTCCTAATCTGTTGTCTGCTTTTGAAGATACATGTTGCATTACATGTAATAGTACATGATTTGTTTTGGAAATTTTTATATGTATATTTTATACATATAGTAATCCTTGTACTAGTTGGACCTTATGACGTAAACTATATTTCTATGTAATGAAATATGTAATATATGCAAATGTGGTGTTTGGGGGTGTTACAATTTTGTTTCTTAATATTATGGTTTTTTCATCTTTGTTTGACTTTGACTTGCAGTATTATCAATGGCCATCTTATTCCGTCAATGAATTCTATGTGAGAGAAGTTACTGAATTGGAATATGGGTTTGGGGATATTGGATTCGGTGTTGGTTCCTCTTCCAAATCTACTGTTCCTGTTGTTGAAGGTTTTAGTTTCTTTACCCTTATTTCTTGTGTGACGTTGTTTCTCATATTGCCGATGTATGCTTTTGGTACACATCGAAGGACTTTTTTCATGGTCCATCGCCATTTTAGGTCACAATATATTAGTTCCATATAACATGTACATCGATGCTTAAATTTTGAGGAATTTAAGGTATTTGCATTTACTTACTTATGGGATTCTTATGGGATTCTTATGGGATCTGCTTCTGTTTTCCAACCCGATGTCGCCTGAAATTAAATATTTTCATCATCTTGTAATACTACATATATAGATTTATGTTATTTTTATGCAATGGAAGTTACCTTCTTTGTTGTTGCTTGAACTTTGTCTCATTCGTTGTATCTTTATATGCTTTGAATCTGATGAATCTACAAGTACCAACAAAGGAAGCTCGGTTTTTAAATCTATTCATATCCATCTATTGCTGAAGGATTAAATGTTAGGTCAGTTATTTTTAGTTGGTTATTACCACTCACAATTTGATGTTCACGTCTAGCAGCTTTCGTGTCCATACCCCTAATTGCATCTACTTCTATTTTAGCTCTTTTCCCTTCTGATCTACTTGACATAGTATTGTCGTCGTTGAACTGCTTAATATCGTCCATTATATCTTCATGATCATCGTCTACAGTTGACATTTAACATACAGATCAACTGAAATCATTTAAATAAAGTTCGTTAAATCACATTTTGTAGTAATCATATTGCATTCAACATGCGTCATACCACAATATGAACTATATGTCATATTCAATGGAGAAAGAATACAACCAAACTGTGAAATACATATGTCCATAATGCATTCATATTCAAATCTAAATTCAAATGGATGAATCTTACAACGATGTACCAATTGCATCCTGATAAACAACATAAACAAATGAAACCGTAATGAATTTGCATCATCCTAGAATGCATTCTGTTGAACCCAAATACTCTTAATTTGTAGAAACACAGTTTATGAAAGATGAGAATTAAAAACAAACAGTGTATCTCGAATGATTAATCGAAATATTCAAAGTAAATAAGAACAATTGAATGACTTGAATATGTCGAATGTTTTTATTGATAAATATCAAGAACAATCAAAGCAAAACGTAATCTCACAAAATTTGCGTATAGTATAAGTTGGCTCCTTCAGGTACTTTAAACCTGAGGAAGAAGCTTCCTTATATACACCTAGGTCTAACAAACTATGCTATAAAATAGGCTTGAAATTCTGAGATGACTTGTTTGCATCCTTATCTTTGACTTCCCTTGAAAAGCGGAGCAGACTTGGTCAAGCCGCCTCAAATTTGTTAGACGCTTGCGAGAATGTTTGGGCTAGCACGCATGCATTCCATGGAGAAAGTGACCAGAAGCTCTACTTGTAACATACATAAGCTCTACATGTACTATGCAGAGGTTCTGTATATGCACAGGCTCTGCATGTACTATGCAGAGGATCTGGGTCTTGGAGTTGTAGCTTTGTGTCAAGCGCTTATGCTTTTTGGCGCATAAGGCTTGATCGTCCACGAGAATAGAGCGTGGTCTCCATATAAATGGAACCTTCACTCTTGAGTAAGAGCTCTGGTTCTTGATCCTCTGCATGAGAGCTCTTAGTCCAGACCGCTTCACTAGACTAAGTCCTATTGACTAGAGTAAGAGACTTCTTACTTACACTTTCACAAGTTGGAATCTAACAATCTCTCTCTAAGTGTAAATAAGGCAGGCTCTTACTTGAATTACAAAACATAAAGTCTAATCGAAGCAAGAGGTTAAAAAGAACCTCTGATTTACATTCACTGTCTAAAGAAGTACAATACGATTGGAATGGAAATTACATTGACTTAAAGATAGAAAAAAAAAACTTACAAAAGATAAGGTCTACACATTCTGAAGTCTAATGAACTTCCTAAGAAGTTCACAAAACTCTAGCATGTAGTGTATCGACCTTAGGATGATTTTCGCTCGGTCTTTTGCTCCAGGGGAGTTGTCTCTGCTCGATACTATATTGTCTCTGATGTAGCACAGAGTAGAGTTAGAGTACTTGTAGTTCTGGTTTTCTTGAAAAAAATATCTTTTTTTGTTGTGCGTTTCGAAACACCACTCCCACTTCTGGTTCCACCAATACAGTCCAAGAGGGGATGCTATTGATGCCCTGCAGATCTTCATTTGGTGCAGTGACAGTCAATTGATCCACTCCAAGATCCAGAGCTAGTTGAAAATCAAACTTGCATCTAAAGTCGAGCAGGTCTGTCATCSTTTGGAGTATAGCAGAGTTGGTCACAGCGTATTTGATCCCCTTATCCTTCTTATGATCCGTGAAGTAAAACAGAGAAAGAAGATCCCACGGATTSAGATTTATAAGATCACAATCTGTGAACTTGCAGATCTGTCCGCGAGACCTTTCCACCATATACTCGTGGAAGATAATCTGGTTGTGCGTGAAGGTACGCTTCTTGATGTTGATGACTTGCTTGATTCTATCGACGAAATGGACTGCAGAGATGGGCTAAGTGTAGCAATGTAGGAATCTTTACCTGATATGCTCTTGAACCATTGGATGAAGACAGATCTTTTGGACCAGTGTCTCTTCTCGTAGGTTGTAGAGGAACTAGTAGATATCCTCGTTGTCTGCTTTGTCCTTTATTGATTTATCAAGGGGTGTTGGCGTAAACATTGCATCCATGCTTTCCTTGATCTTTTGGACATGATCAAAGGGATGCTTTCGTTTTGGCCTGCTGCTTGCGCCTTCTAAATCTACTCTGGTAGGTTTGACAGGGACCCACTGCCTCATAGCTGGTGTGACTACCCTTGTCCCTTGAGCAGGGACCCTAGCTCTGTGTGTATTTTGTTGTGGTGGAGGAGCAGCAACAGTGATGCCTTCTAGAGAAACGGTAATAGGAATGCGCAAGAGTGATGGATCAGCCACATTCACTGCTACCACATCGTTTTCTTGTCCTCTGGATATAGAAGCAATGGTGTCCATGGCATATTCAGTTGACGAAGACAGAGCCAGGTCTGAATCAGATGATAGTAGACGGATAGAAGATCTATCACGTCTTTGTTTTTTTGTAGCCCAGCAGGCTCTGCTTGAGATGCCATGGGCATCTTTCCCTTTTTGAGCACCTCTGCTTGTATTGGCGCTTGGTGACTCTGTGCCCTCTACCTCAAAGAATCTTGCATTGGTTGAGTTGGGGCAGAGGTAGTTGGTGAAGAGGGGGCAGCCGTAGATGTAACATTTGGAGTGGTTGTTGGATACTTCTCCCCCTCTTGACGATTTTGAGGACTAGACTAGTCTGGGTCTTCATCATCGTCAAGTGATCTCCTCTTCGACGCCTCGGCACAAGGAGAGGAGTTCATTCATGTTTTTGGTCTCTGCTCCTCTGCTTGAGGCATAGAATTGATTTTCTCCTCAAAGACTATGAGGAGATCTTCGACTGCATCGCCAACTCGTCGAATCTCAATGTCCGAGCGGTAGTTGAACCCGGCCAGAGAGTGTTTGATGGCGTCCGTTGCTTCTGTGGTTTTGTTGTTGAAATCGAATGTGAAGTTCGCCACCTTCTATAGAAGTCTGTCACCCAGAGCATTCATTACGCTCTGAGTGACATAATCCAAAGGTACGTTGAGGGGGATGATCACCTGGGCGTCATGGGAAATTGATGCTTCACCCCTCTGTAAGAATGCTATGACCGTTTGCAAGGCCTCTGCATTTCGTGTCGTCAATTCCTGTAATGTATCGAGACGAGAAGCATTCGTCGAAGAATCAACTCTCAATACTGCTAAGGATGCTCGTATCTCATCCAGAGCAGATGCAGAAGGAGACGGCTTTGCACTGGCCATGATGAGTTTTAGCTCTTCCAAGGAGCACCGCAAAGAGGTGACAAGGGAGTGGAACTCTTCCCTTGTGACGTATGCTGGTTGTGTAACCTCTGGCTCAACACATGGGCCAGATTGAGTCCCCATTCCAGGGACACCTTCATTCACGACTTGGTTGATGTTGGTCGGGGAAGGATTTCTAGCAGATCCTCATGGTTCTCCTTGAGGAGAATTCACTACCGCAATTCTGTCAGGGAGAGTATCCAAGGTTGGTTCAGAGCCAGCCAGAGGACTCTTCATGAGTGGACAAGGAGGTTGGTCGAGAACCTCCATGTCTTGTGCACCTATTCCTTGCTCTAAACAAGGTGGGGAGTCTACACATGCAGAGGAAATGAATTCCTCTGTATGGGAAAGTGGCGTGATATGGGGAGACATATCACATATTTGTTCAAAGGTTGCACCCTTTTGAGAGGGTGTTTTCGGAGGTGTGGCTTCCCTTTGGCCGTCATAACCAGAGGCAGATACGACCTCTGGTTGGTTTGGGTTCGAGGTGTGCACCTCTGTTTCAATGACCTATGTGTCTTGACCATCGGAGTCAGATGATTTGTTTGCACTGGGAGTTGGGGTGTTGAAACGTATGTGCCTATTTACCCCAGGCTGCTCTGGCTCGCCCTGAGGCAGAGCAGCTGCTGCACCTCCTCCCTCTTCTTCTTCTTCTTCTTCTTCTTCTTCACTCTCTTCTTCTTCAGCCTCACTCTCTTCTTCTTCCTCCTCACTCTCCTCACTAGAAGTGTAAGACCTAGCAACATCATCGAAATGCTCTTGGTCATCCTCTTGATGAGAGCTAGAGGATTGAAGAGCTTCTTCCTCTGCTCTGAGTCTGGCCTCTTCCCTTAGGCGAGCAATCTCTGCCTGTCGAGCTTTTTCTGCTCACTCTTCCTCTTCTCGTTTACGAGCAAGTTCAGCCAGTTTAGCTTGCTCTGCTCGAGCCTCCTCTTCCTTTTTCTTTCTTTCTCTCTCCATCCTCTTTTTCTTTGCTTCCTCTTTCTTTCTTTCTTTCTCCCTCTCTTTCTCTAATCTCACAGCCTCTTCCTCTGCCTGAGGCCTTAACGTGTCCTTTGTTCTCTCTTCTTCTTCGGCTATTCCTATGCATGTCGGGGTTTGAGGCACTGGTTCTAGTTCTTCGCGTGCACGTCTGTACGCTCTCCTGACTTCCTTCGTCCTCATATATGCAAATAGCTTCTTTGGAATAGGCCTTTCTGCCACGTAGCCCTCTTTGTTGAAGGTTGGCTTGTAGTGGGTGAGCGCATTCACTTTGTGCACGGGTAGATGACCCACATCGATGTTGTTGTCGTCAAGAACAGGCCTTAGGAGAAGACCCAAGAAGCGCGGAAACAGCAGAGATGGTAGTTCCTTCCCTTTGGCCATTT